TATATATATAAGTATATATATATATATTTGATACACACACACACACACACACATACACATCTCTTGATCTCAACCCAATTCACTTTGTGGATTTTTCATGTTCTGTTTCTGTGGATGACAACATATTTTAACTATTGCTGATCCATGGCTCTTCTTTATCCTTTCCCAATCCACAGCATTGGCTATCCTTTGGATACTACCTCACGCTTTCTTTGGTTGTCTTTGATATGTTCCACACTGTGGGTCACAATGACTCTATCATGCAAAGAATGTGGTATATACAGCATTATGTGATTTCCCTTTAATTTATTCCTGTTTTGTATTTGATTACTAAGAAGATGACCTTTGCATAACTTCTTTTAAATCATTTATAAAATAGTTCCCAGTCTCCAACCATTCTCTTTCCAGCATGAAATATCCCCCCCTTGTGATAATTCAATAAAAACTTAAATTTTGGTGGAGTCCTATCAAAGACTGAAAATGTCTACACATTATGTTTCATAACTATTCTTTTGTCACATGGATATTAAGCTGGTTTAAGGAGCCCTATTGGTTAGTGAGTAAGATTTCATTTATAATAAAGAGATACTGCAAAAAGTATTGTATTTTATAAATATTCAGTCAGTGCACTCACTGTTAAGTTGTCTACTCTTTTCTGACATGAGCTGTACTTGCCTGCACTTTTTGGGATCTATTAGAAAACCCAGTCCATGGAGGAAGTACACTAGTTTTATGGTATAGTAATTATTGTAAACCAGGTTTCATTGTCTGACTACCCTTTTGACAGTATTCCCCTTGGTGCTAAGACTTAAAATGAATCTTATTTCATGCCATCAGTTTATTTGGATCTCAATTATAGATTCAGTCTAGAACATCCTGGGTGTTTCCCACTGTCTAATACCTCTTATTTGTTTAGATTAAAACAAATTTTAAAAATATTTATGCATGTATGTATGTCTTTTCTTGTATTAAGAATTGAACCTCAGACTGTGTACTGAAACATTTCAATAGATTCTTCCCAAAGCTATTATCAACTCTAAGCAGCTAATACATTTACTATGTATTAATGCATTTAATACATTTATTTTTGTCTTTCTTTTTTTCCCCCAACCTCACTTTCATAAACTCCCTTCAGACCTCATTCTTTTTTTCTGCCCTGTTTGGTCTCCATTTTACTTACCCAGGTGACTGACTGCTTCTTTCTCCCAAGGCCAGGTGGCAGCACCTGCAAGGTCTTCTCTCACCGAGCTGGCAAAGTAGACATTGAGGAAATGGGTACCATTGAGCTGCAAGGCCTCCTTCAGCTCCTTCACACTCATGTACGCCCTGGAGTGCACACAAGAAAGAGAAAATGTCACACCAACAGATTGGCACTCAGGACAACCGAATGAATAGAGTATTTGACCTCCTTCTCAATTCCCCACTTGCACTCAGATTATTTCTTCAAAATAAATCCAGTAATACTACTAATACTACCACTTTTTTGCTTTGAGAATTATTCCCAGCCCACATGTTAAAGAAAGTCTTCTAACTTACAGCTTCTGGTTCTTTTCCTCATTTTACCTGATCCTAATGATGATAGGAAATCCAGTTAAATCACTATATAAAATCACTATATATCCGATTCATCAGTATATGTTTATTGCAAACATTATTTTTTAGATGAAAGGAGGAAGGCTTGGGATTTAGCTCAGTGGTGCTGCCATCTGCCTTTCATGTGCAAGGTCCTGAGTTCCATCTCCAGTACCAAAAAAAGGAAAAGAAAAAAATCAATGTAGATGGGAAAATAGTAGTTAGAAACTAATTAAAGTGGTAAGAATGAGAAGAGTTAGAGGTACTGGAGGACATCATAAAGCTAGCACGTATGACAGTAACTATATACGCACTTCCCTCCTCAGTCTTTAATCCATAGAAACTCTTCTATTACCTTATGATACTTATCAAGTGTCTTTATTGGTAACTTTCAAAACCCTAGGCAATATTATGTTTGCATTTATGCACAAAATTAAATATCTACTTAAAAATACAAGCACCATGGCCCATAAAAATCAGGAAAGGAGCATTTGGTGGCTCAGCTTCCTGGCATCAGTGAAACTTAAAACTTTACCACGAGCAAATATGGCTTTTCCATCCTCGCCGAACAGTGACTCTTAAGAAGGAAGAACTAAACCAGAGCTCAGTGGCCTTTTAGACCCACAGGCTAATTCCCGCTGTGGCCATGGCTTTTGCCATCACAAATGGAGGAATGTTCCTATCCCAGCTTCAGCCAGGTAGACAGTGCCTCCATGCAGGGTGGAAACGTCTCATACAGATTAGCTTTCCCGGTTGCTGTTCTACTGGACAAGCCGCAGGCACAGAAACCCGCCCGATTCAGTAGCTCATTTGGGGATAGCATGACCTTATCTCTTGCTTGCACTGCTTCCCAACTGCGATGTTGAGGCTGTCTGCTTAACCCACATGTGGAGTGTGACGTGGAGGGGCTAAAGAAGAAGGAGGATCCCAAATAAAGCTCTCTTTGTATTCTTTGGAACAATATCAAAAAGGGGAATGAAAGCAAAGAAACCAAAAAGACCTTGCTTTAGAACTAAAGATGCTTAGGAGCACAGGGTTTTTAAAACAGCATTTCATTAACATAATCTCTTGGAAAAATAGTCCTCAGCCATAAGAAATCATCCAAGCTCCATAAGGTGACATCAGATATGATGAGAGGTATATTCCTTCTACAGCTTTCCTAGAGACACAAAGTTTTTGGGCTGTAGCCGGGTTTTCTCTGGATAACAGTCACATTCCCTTTTCCCTTTTTGTTTATTAAAACTGACTACACTTCTTCTTTTCTGATGATTGGGGTGATGATGAATCAAGTAAATCTTTAATGTGGAGATGTTTTAATGGGCCTGGAGAGGAGAGGAGAGGAGAGGAGAGGAGAGGAGGAGAGGAGAGAGAAATTAGAAACTGAGCCTATTCTCGACTCAGGGTACTAAAGAAAATGAAAATTCACACCCATTCTCTGTTTCTAGTCCAAGTTTCCAGTTTACTTGGAAGTTGGTAATGAAAGTTTTCTCTTTCTTAGCCTCCTTCACTTTCCCAAACACTCCGTTCCTGGCACGTTCTCCCCAGCCTATCTGTGTGTTATTGGCTTCTCTGTCTGCCATTTATAAGTCTTGGCCACCATCCATCTGTCCTTTCTCAACCCAGGGTTTCTGTTCATTTCCGTTGAGCACCCTCCAAGAGGCCTCTTTCTCCACACCAACCTCACTAGAGGGTTCTACTCACCTCCCTTTTCTTACTTGCCAAATTTTTCCCCAGCCATAAATTACCCTTGCCGATGAAAATGCTTGTGTGATGCTCGTGGCAACTGGGTGTGGTAGCTCAGATTCCTGCACTCCATAGAAATCTAGATAGAAATCGGCAAGTCTGAAGGGTAGAATACCTTTATAAACAGTAGAGACAGTTGGAAAAATTCATTAACTGAATTGATAGAAGAAAGCTTTGTCTTGCTGGAAGTGAGACTGTTGTCTGGATTATTCTCTAAGCCAGAGGGTAAAAGACATCCCTCAAAAGTCAGAGAATGTGCTCCGCATACAGAAAGCCCCTGTTTAACACATGTATCACTTCAGAAGTTAATCAAAGTTAATGAAGATAAATGTCAGCTTCTCAGCTAACGTGACCAGAGCCTGGCTCAGACTTACAGTAAGAAAAAAATGGACATAGATCTTAAATTCAAAACTTAACAGCTTGCTGCAGCAATTACTAATAAAGACATACATGAATGTAATATTAAGAGGAAGTGAAATGACATTCACAAATGAGTAAAATGCATAAGGATCATGAACAGACCAGACTGATGTATTTAAAGGGATAAACTGCATTTATTGCATTAAATTCTGCCAGGATCTGCCTCTGCTCAGGTTCTCCACACTCTAGATAGAGAATCCTGTCAACTCCACTTCTCCCTGATGTCTAACCCAGCAGAGTAAGTTGTATCTTGGCTTTTATGAAAGTGGTCTCAGAAATAGGCTCAGAAATAGGAGGGGGTGTCCAGTTGTTCTGCCCCAGGGCCCAGGCCTCTTGTTTCTGACACGACCCCTGCAAGAAAGCACAATGACTTTCCCATTCAATGCCCATGGCCTCTCGCAGTGGGATTGTCCATTGTCCAGCATCAAGTTTACAGCCTCACTGTGTTCACTCTGATTCCCATCAAACCTCCTGATCACTGAGCCTCAGCCACAGCACAGTGGCTAAGTGTACATCAAGCTTAGTATATGACTACATAAAAGGGTAAAAGAGTGACACCTTGTGCTCCATTTTATTAGTAAATGAAATAACCCCTTTATATAATCATAGAAATAACCCAAGGAAGCCATCAAGAAGAAAAAGATCTTGAGCTATCCTGAGGGAGATGAATCAGTGTAAACATTGGTGTTGAAAATACAACATAAGCTGGACACGGTGGCACATTCCTATAAACCCAGCACTCTGAGAGGCTGAGGCAGGAGGATAGCAAGTTTGAACACTCAACCCAAAGGCCCTGGTTTCAATCGCCAGTAAGGGGAAAAGAAAAGCAAACAAAAGAGATATGGGATGAATGAACACCCTCAGCCTGGGACCCACAGTCCCACTACCCATTCTCATAGCAATCTCCACCCCACCGCCCAGAAGGGCCTGACTGCACTTTGAAAATGAGAAGGAACCCTCTGTGAGAATACAAATAGGTGCCATCAAGTTCTCCCAGCCAGTTCCCCCCACCAAAATGACTTGTACCAAAGCTGGAACGATTAGTTTAATGAAACCTAAACCTTCCTGTTATTGCTGCAAACTGTGTTTCTCTGCCCAAAATATGCAGAAGGGTTTCCACAGCGGCCCCTCTCCCCTGTCGGCTCTGACACTAATATTGCTTCTCTCAGTGAGTATCATCTTCACTTTCACTGAGCCTATACCTTGGGGTTTACACACCCGCAAAGCACTAAGCATTCTCCCCACTGACCAGTCTGACAACAAAATCCTAGTTTTCCCCCCTCCTGTACTGCATCACCAAATGCTTTCTGTTTATTTTCACTTCGCATCTCTTATTACTCCATATATGCACCAAGAACTTCAGCGTCAGGCTTTGTGTTCCCCTGCACCCTAACTGCCATCATCACCTTAGGAAATACCAGCATTTATGTGAAACATGCATTGAAAACACAATCTTATTCCTGCCTTCCTTTTTCTGATTACCCTTAGTTCCATTCCCCTTTGCCAACTCTTCTCACCGCACCCTTTCTCAGATTATTATTATTTTTCACTTCTAAGATCACATAGAGCTTTAGTTCCACTTGTCTATACTTGTACTTATTTTTTAGTAATCTCCTTTTGGGGGGTTATTTGAAATATTCAGTGTTCTTCTCTTGTACCTGTCAGCTTTCTTATTCCTTTGACTGTTATTCAAAGGATCATGCCTCCTTATTTGATAATAAAATCATGGCCATTCTTCAAAAGCTTCATCACTACTCCCCATATACACAATCCCACACACTCGAACTTACTAAACTTCCTTGCCTATTTATGTTCTCGTCCCTCTGGCCCCACAGGATGAAGTTTTCTGAACAAATTATAACAAACACCCTCTCTTTTTCCTTCATCCAATTCCTTCTGCTATTTAAACTCCCTAAGAGATAATTTCTTCATCTCTCATTTATTTTTTTATGTGCCCCTATAATGAGATTAGAACATGGTTTTCATCTACATCATTTTATCAATATTGTTTTCCTTAAATTTTTCAATGATATCTTAATATTGCTTATCCCAAACAAAAGTTTCAGTCTTCCTCATACTGGAGCCTTTTGCTTCATTTTATATTGTTAGCTATTTCTTCCTTCTTAAGGCTCTCTGGTTCTTTTGCTTTCATTGAAAGCTGTGCTTTTTCTTGGTTCTCCTCCTGCTTTTGAGAACACCAATTCTCAGTTTCTTTCCTACTACCCACCCTGCACCCAATCCTTAAAAGTTACTCCCCAAGGACTTGTGCATAGCCCACACTTTTCTTACTCTCCATGTTCATCACTGAAAACTCTTCTACTCTTAGATTATCAAGCATCATCATTGTTTGGATAATGCTCAAACATGTAGATGCATCCAGTCCTACTTCTTTTCCAACGTTAGGTTCTTTTTTCTATCAAGTAAATGGCTCTACCTACTTTACTCACAGACATCCTGAAATCAACAGGTCAATGTGATGAGTGAATCTAAGACAAAATAAACTCAGGCACGGTGAATTTCAGTGTATCTGAAATAGTGGTCCATCTGGAAAATCTACTGATATATTTTTTATGAGTAGATTAACAAGGAGG